GACCAGTCATGTCCTTGGGAGGCTTCACGTGGAAGGAGGGGATGAGCAGGAGGTGCGGGCGAACTTGATTTTTCCACACACAAAAGCTGCAGCAGGCACAACTTCCATTTCAACAAAGCTCCCTTATGAGCCAACCAGTTGACCTGGCTGGACACACACGGTGGAGAGAGGAGGTACTGGTCACAGGATGGGAGGGCGGTGAGGAGACAGGCAAGATGGCACTCTTTTTAAATAGGAAATCAGCTGTCCAGGGCGTCAGCTTCTAGCGCCACCAGCCATTGCTCATATCCTCCTCCTCAGGGTCTTGCCGTGTGGTTCTGCGTGCTGGGCTTGCCTCGTCCTACTAGGAGACCTGCATGTGGAGAAGGAAACACGCAAACAGTGCGCATTAAGACAGTGGCCAAGGAAACACCATTACTTAAAAGCAGATGTTCATAATTCAGGGTTTGTAAGCAGATTTTCAAAGGGATAATAGCTTGAATTTTGTGCAAAGTTCTGAGCATCTTCATGTACACATCTCTATAAAGGAGGTCTGTAACTTTCATCTCTTCTTAAAAGATTAAAAATTGAAGCAGTATGAAGGGATCCCAAGTCACTTGTGTGTTCAGTCCATTGGGAAAGCACAAAAGATCTACAGAAATGGGGGAAAATTTAAGCAGTGCCCCTAGAATTCCAGGCGCAGAGGTGCACAGGAACCGGACTGACTGGAGACCTGGGTGTAACCAGGATCTCTGTCATTGACTCAGGACAATATTGCCAAAGCCCTCTTCTTCACTCTGTGTCTATATCATGCAATTTGAAGTTGTCAATCAAAGTTTCTTTAGGAAGAAAATATACACCAGCTGTTTTTTTTGGGGGGGGGCCCGTGTATCTGCCATTTTATGTAACAGCTGAAGTCCTAAAAAAGTGGGTGGATCCAATTTTAAAAAATTAAACAAAAAGTATTTTTGAATGCACAAAGGGAGCTGTTCTTAGGTAAAGTAGACGTTGTGAATCCTTTTCTTTCTTTCCTAAAATTTTTATTTGGTGTATGTGTGTATATATACACGTATGTGTCAGAGTGCACGTTTGTGTGTGTGTGTGTGTGTGAGAAAGAGAGAGTGCACGTATGTGTGTGTGTGTGTGTGTGTGAGAAAGAGAGTGCACGTATGTGTGTGTGTGTGTGTGTGTGTACACCTGTGTATGCGTATTGTATGTGTGTGGGTGCATGTGTGTGTACCTAAGTGTAGAGGTTACAGGTCTATTTTGGGTGTCTTTCTCAGGAGTTCTACATCTTGGTTTTTGAGACAGGATCTCTCTCTCTCTCTCTTTCTCTCTCTCTCTCTCTGAGCCTGGAGCTCAATCGTCAAGCTAAACAGGCTAGTCAGCAAGCTGGCCAGTGATTGTCCCCTCTGCCAGCCCCCTCCAATGCTGGGGTTCTAGATGCATGCTGCCATGTCTGGGTTTGGTGGGTGTTTGGGATCTGACCTCAGGCCTTCATGCCTGTGCATAAAGCACTTTACCCAGGAAGCCATCTCCCCTGTCTAGATTTTGTGTGCACTGGACTTTCTCACAGTATCGCTGGGGCACAAATGTTTTTATAATTCCTCATTTAAATAATGTCATTGCCTTTTCTGATTATATATATGGCTTCAGTTTTAGGAAGTTATGTAGTCAGTTAAATAAACTTGTCTTGATGCTCTGAAATTAGAAGATAAACCCATTTCATATGACATATACGTGTATGCCACACATACACCAAACAGGGACTTGGTCTAAGATATGTTTTAGAAAGCAGCCTCTCTGTATCCTGTTCACCAGAATAGCAGCCATGCTTTTTGGCATCTGTAAATGCCAGTTCCCATTTCTGCAGGAATGCGATTAGTCAGAATGGGTCAGAGGTCCTGACTGTGCCAGACTCTGCCAGCCCTTGGTACCTGACCTGGCAAAGAAGAACAAACATGGTGAGGTGGGGAGGAGGTTGGGTACAAGGTAAGCAGATGTGAGAGGCCTAAGCCGAACTCAGTCTACTTGGTGATCACAGAGCACACCACACAGATGCTCATGAACGAAAGTCACATCACCTAGGAGACTGCCTTACTAATCATGTTCTTTATGATTTATTATTGATATTAGTCCATATATCATTGGTATATTAATTCTATCATATATTATATAAAAGCAATTTAAAAACAGCATAATTTTTGTATAGAAAATATTTTAAGTGTGTAGTTTTCTTTTGTTTACTAGTTTTCCTAAGGCAAGACAAAACCAACCCAGAATTTTCTGTGAAGTGTGTTTTCATAAACACTTGTGGGGTGCACATGGCATTGACAAGGGGTCTCCTTCTTGTGTCCCAGATAAATACGTCAAGGTCAGTATGACATCAATACAAAATCAGGCCCCAGGAACCCAGTCCCCTGGTCTCCTGTACCAATGAATAATATATTTGGCATATAGAGAGTTGGCTGGAAATAATCTACTAATGACAGAAAGACAAGATCATTTTTTTCTGTAAAAAGCTCATAATTAAACTGAATTTAAAGTTGTTTATTCTTTTATACAAAATGTTCTGTTTCCCTTTTCATGGATGAACTCAAAGAAGAAATTCTTTGATTTTATTAGTGGCTCTTGTTTTAGGACTAGGAGGTTTTTTTTTTCCGTTTAAGAAGATCCATGGAAGTTTTTATTTTATTTTCTCGAGACGGGCTTTCTCTGTGTAGCCCTGGCACTTCAGCAACTCACTCTGTAGACCGGGCTGACCTCGAACTCAAGAGATCCACCTGCTTCTGTCTCCCAAGTGCTGGGATTAAATGTGAGCACCACCACTGCTCAGCAAGATCCATGGAATTCTTTAGTGAGAAAGTCCTTAATTTTCTGGTGTGTGTGCCTGTGTGCGTGTGCATGCGTATGTGCAAGCATAAGGAGATAGGCGTGGCAGCATCTCTACCTCCGTTCTTCTGATGTGCATGTGCGTAGTCTTTTCTCTCTAATTAATTAGAAGTAATAGCTTTCCTTAGCTTCTGGTATGTGAGAGAGTAAAGTGGGAAATAATTTAATTGGCTGTCTTGCTTTCAAAGCCCAGTTTAATGAAATAGTTCTCAGCCTGAAGTGCATGCATTATCCTTCCTGTTATTTTTACAATTAGCATGTCATTGGATCGCATTTGGGTGGAATATTCTAATTGGTTTCTAGGGTGGGGCACAGAAGATGGAGAGATAATCCAAGTGCTGGGGTGTGTACTGTGCTTTTCATTAGGACAGTCTTGTCCTGTCACTTTATCTCTTAGGCATAAGAGAGGGATCATACCAGTCTCTAAAAATGGTAGACTGTTTGATGCAGCCATCGGGTAGAGAGATGACTCTGAGACACTTTACAAGGTCCTGGGCTACTTCCCAATGCATGACCCAATGGCACAAGGAGCGCCTCCTACAGTTTCCTATGAGCGCTGTCCCACTGAGGGCAAGGATTCTGTTTCGCCAAGTATGTAGGACATATTTGTAGAAAGACTTGCTGGAAGAATGAGCATTTGGAGAATCCCATGATACCTTCCCTGTTTTGCTCTTCTGTGTGGAAAGCAGAGAGTTAGAAGTAGATGTCAAGTGGGGCAGAAAGTAAGGAGACAAGCCAGGCACCAAAGGCAAGCACCAAGAAGGCTTGCTCTTGCAGGAGCATGCAAGCAGACTGACCTGAGCATGAATGCCTTCTTAAATTCTACATGTCCTAGTACCTTGCTTGGCTCACTTTCACCCTAGGTCTGGCAACTAGCAAAACATCCTGTCCTCCTTTTCATCTCCTCCTTGCTCCAGTAATGCTGGGCCTCTGCCAGCCCTCAGTCAGCCCCAGATTCAAAGACGCTACCATTTAAATATCTCACAGCACTGTCTGTATCCCTTACAATCCTGTGTAGCACTGGGTCCTGCTTGTGTCTTGGCTCTGTGTCTGGTTCTTTCTTTTTCACCGTGCAGTTGTGACATATGTATCTTCCCTACCCCCTGGTATTTCTGAACCAGCACTCAGCTGTTTTAAGGATCAACCCACTTTTTTCTAGGTAAGCTGAAGACAAACATGGACCTAGAGGCAAAAGAGGCTCAATGCTTGGCCATGTGTCCCACTGCCTAGAGGCCTAGATCTGTATTTGTCTTGGAAAGAGGAGCTGGTTCTTTTAGGGAGCATCCTTTGGCCCAGCTGGGAGAAAGGAATAATTGAAGTGTGAAACAGGGACTGGGGCAGACTTAGAGACAATTGTGCAGCTGGGCCAAAAGAGACCATAGAGAAAGGGGTCACTATAGGCAGATGTAGAGAGAAGACAGAACCAGCCATACCTCCACCACTGTGAGATAGCCCGGGATGTGTTGTGTATGTACAGGGTGAGGGGAAGTACTTCCTCATTTTATCTCCTTCAAGATGGCAGATCTGTAAAACCACCTGCAAACTATAAGGTCTTAGCCAAAACTGTAAGGACAGACAGGCCAGTAGAGACCCATGAAAAGATTTAAACATGTGTGTGTGTGTGTGTGTGTGTGTGTGTTTGTGTGTATGTATAGAATAATATATATAAATATTGGATATATATACACACACACACACACATACCTGCTCTGTGCTATGTGACCACAAATGAGGAAAATACAGCTGGTCTGGGATGACTTTTGTAGTCATTTCAACCCAGCCAGTTGTGGTGGGATTTTCCATCCGGCCCTGTCCTGACACTTAGCCACTTGTCTCCTCCTAAAGGAGGAGTTTTAGCTACCTACAGGACCATGTGGCTTTCTCCTGTTTTTCTTCTCTGCCCCTGCCTGGGGATAGGCTAGGTGGCTAATGCTGGGGAGAGCTGAGAGATCCCCAACCTTCACAGAGACCAGGCCTTGCTCCACAGGGACTGAACGAGGTTTTGGGTTTCCGGGCTGATGGATCCTGAAGGTTGGCTCACCAGCTGCAGCCCACGTGCCTACTGATCCAACAATGTCTTATATCAGGCAATGCTTCGTTGAGACACTCTGGAGTGTTTCAAAGCTCACGCCAGTGTCTACTGAGGCTAGCCATGGGCTTTGTTAAAGGAGAGCGTATGGCTGACTCGGGAATCAATGATACCACATTTCCCCACAGGAATTCCTATAGCAGTGCTTGGGAATGATCAGATAACCTTGGCAACTCTCTGGGAAGCTTTCTATAGGCAGATGTCCTACCAGGGAAATGGGGACCAGATGTACTCCAGATCTCAAAAGAAATTAATGGCAATAAGACTCTAGGGTAAAAATATCTGTGTGCTTGCTCACTGAGCTTGTTCACTCAGCTCCTGTTCTATCTAAGGATCATTTAGGCTTAATTATAGAGTTCAGGCGTTCATTGGGTTTTTGATTAATTTTCTTTTCAGCCTGGAAAGTGTGTGAGGTCTTTGTCCGTGCATGTGTGCGCGTGTATATGTGTGTGTTTATATCTTTCTTTGCAACTCAGTTGGGAGCTGGCTCTAGCGATGTTTAATTGCGCCCTCCGTTCTTAACAAGAACGCTCAATGTGCCAAGAAGGCCTTGGAAAGCCATTGTTCCCACTGCCTCCATCCCATGGGCTGCTCCTGCGCACGCATTGAGGGACCACGGGTGGCAGGGCAGTGCTCAGCTGGGACCTCAGCCGTAGGATGCATGCTTCCTGCCTGTCTTTGTACTGGTGGTGTTTAAGGGATTCGGAGACCAGGGGAACAGCTTTCCCTACTCCATTAATTACAAGTGACAGCCACCTCCCCCACACCACAGTCCCTGACAGGCATTTTTCTGAGCCAACCTCCCAGGGGATTACAAGGCTCTTTAAGGAAGAAAACAGCTTTCATTCTCTCATTTTTAATGACTCCACTTGGTAGGTAGGGGAGGACTACATGACTGTGCAGATGGCAGTGACCTGCCTTCTCCTTTTCTTTCTTCTCCTTTGTGCTAAGGGGTAAACTAAGGGACAGCACCATACAGAGGGAGAAAATGGGGATTGAGCCAAAAGGCCCAGTTTGAATCCTGGCTTTTGGCATTTTTCCTGTTTGTGTGCCTGTGGATACATCATTTACCCTCTTTGGTCTCAGTTTGCTACTTGTAAAATGAGGACAATAACACCAACACCATCACCACCGAATGACACTTCTTACGATACTGTGGATGAGAAAACGCGTGTGAAAGCCTTTTGCAAAATCTTTTATAAATCATTGCTGTTTTATTTTACTATGCAGAGTTGTTTCTTAGACCATGACTTTGGCCTTTGAGGTATTTATTTCGGGGGGCGGGGAGATCCAAAATGATTCATTGACTGGAAGGCAGACAGGGGACCAGCCACCAGCCTCCCAGGTGTTGTGGATGGCAGCATTGCCCTGACAATGTGGTATGCAACCAGGAGAGAACAGATTAAGGGTTCACTATCAACACAGCTGTCACAGAGAGAAAGTAATCTGGAATATTCCTTTTTTGACATTATAACGGAAAGGGCTCTGGACCCAATTGTTTTTAATTTCTAGGCTAATTGATTTGTGGGTGAATGATTCCGGAACAATAACAGTGTTTCTGGCTGGAGACAAGGAAAGACCCCAGGTCCCAGGTAACATGCCTGTATTGTAAGCTGAGGTCTGGGAGACTCAGGCCTGTGCTCATGAGGTTTGTGATCCTGAGCAGTTGACCTAATTTAAAAGGGTCTCGATTTCCTTGGAGATCATAGACTAGAGGATCTCAAAGGTGACCTCATTTAAGGATTTAAGACCTGATGAAACGTTCTTTCAAATACAGGAGGTCTTAAACTGTTGTGCCACTAAGAAACTATGAACCTATACAAAGTCCAAATATAGTTTAGAGACCACCCAACTCACACCAAAGGCTCAGAGATGATGATGTCGTCTGGCATCAGACCCCCATTCTCAAGGGAAATGCAGGCTGATGGGAAAATGCCGGTGACCCCCGGCAGAGAACTCAAGGTTAACTCTCCCCTGTAAGAGAGCCCTTTGCTTGGCAATATCCTGACTAAGCTAAAAGTCAGTGATCCACAGATGGAGAGAAAGGGGCCGTCTCCGTGTAAAACAATGATAACTTTAACATAACTGGCTGCTGGGTAATTGAGCGTTCTGCCAGGTTGACTTCAGGACTGAGAGAGTTTACAGAAGTAAAAAAAAAATGACAGCAGTAATGCATATTTGCATAGTGATTTTACCTTTTATAAGCCCTTTTCCATATATTTTTTTCTCAATTGTTATTACATCATTCCCCAGAAAACCACCTGGGGGTAGTTTATTTTAAAAATCTGAAGTGATTCTTTTTAAGTAGGAATAAGCTTGGGTAAGCATGCTGCACCTTGCTTTATAAGTATAGACAGGTCTTTGAAAAGCTATATTTTATGGAAATATAATTGTGTGACTCATATCTTAATGTGCGAGGGACATTTAAAGACTGAAACCTTGCATAGGATTTTTAATATAAACTCTTTCTTATTCATCTGTTGTTACAATTTTAGATGTGGGAAAAAAATCAGGTTTTCTTAAAGTGGGGCTATGTGGCTTGGATTCCAAGATCAGCATCCACTGCCCCAAATCTCACAAAAGTGGCATCTAATTCAATGAGGGAGAGATTGGTGCTTCTGATGTCAGCATGGAAAATAAGCAGCTTTATTCTTCAGTTTGTAGCTCTCTGAGGTCAGCTCTGCCATAAAGAAGTAGGGAAGCATGAGAAAGGACAGAGAAAACAACAAAAATAACGGCTGAATCATTTCTAAATAGAAGAGTCTTTGCAACTCACAGATGGACATTAATGTGTTGTTATAAATGACTTGCCATCAATTACTAGTCTATGAGAGAGGAGCTGATGGTTGGGGTGTGAAGTTAGTGCTATATAATTTTGAGTCGCATCCTCTGGGACTAGAGCATAAAAGCAATTAGACTACAGTGCATTTTAAACAAAAGCAATGGACAAGCCTTCCCAGTTCACATTCTCTGTCCCCAAACTCTGGCAGGCTTGGAATCAATGACAGGATTGGTATAATGGCTCCAGACATGGAATCTCTCACTTCTGAAATTAAGCTTGAAGAATTTACTTATTCAATGTACAACATTGTGAGAGTTCTGTAGTTTGTTCTCATGGGGAGTTTTAGAACAAAGAAGGCTCCATCTCACAACCTGCACTACTGAGAATAACAAGGAAAGCCCTTTTCTGGGAGGGGGTGATTTAGGCTGAAAGGGTTGGAAATCTTACCACTGTAAATACTGGAAACTCATTAGAAAGTTTTACACAGCCAGACTAAAGGACCTCTGGCTTCCCACTTTTATTGGCTGGATCTCTGTTAATACAAGTTTGCTTATATTAACTTATTATATAAGTTATATTATATATATAAGTTATATTATATATAACTTATATATATTAACTTATATATAAGTTATATAATTAACTTATTATATAAGTTTGCTTATATTAACTTATTATTAATAATAATATTATTATTATTAATTTCTTGATTATTATATCAAGAAAATACTCAGATTTTCACTAAAGAAGTAAGAAACACTTCCTTCCTACAGCTGGACAAGCAGTTAAAGTTGAATTTTTGTAAGTATAGCTGAAGTTAACCTATGTGGACTTACGGTGTACATACTATGTGTGTTTAAAGGCCATAGATGAATATTCAGGCACTACTGGCAAGACTGGTTGTTATTATCTCTCAATACTGGTGTGTGAGAACACATGTGCATGCACAGACGTGTACACTTCCTGTGCCCAAACAAGTCAGAGATTAAAACTCGAAAGTACTGTTCTCATTTGTGGAGATGTTCCCGAAACCCTGCAAGGACGGGAGGCTGTACATCTTTGTAAACCAAGGGCTGGTGAAGAATTTGTAGCTGTAAACAAAGTCACAGACTGAGTCACTAAAAACTCGGGAGGGACCCAGTGCCACCGCTACTACAGAAAACAGGAACTACATAGCCAATACTGTGACTAACACTTAGAATGAACCATCTCCTTGGAAAGAGTGTATGGAAGCAGCCAGTCTCCAATAGGGCTGCGGACATCAGCACTTTGGACAGCTCCTAGGGCAGCACTCAGACAGCGCCAAGGGCAGGCACTACCGTTTCCCCCCATTTAAGTGTTCCCCTCATTCCGGAGAACGGAGAACGTGCTGACAAGCTGATCATCAACTATTATTTGATATTAATCTGTAGCAACAACTTCTTCTCTCTCCCCATCACCCAGTATCTTTCACCCAACTCCCCAACACCCTCCAGTCACACACGGGGGACTGTCTTACGAACACCTGGTGGTGGATGTTTCCACGCGCGCTTCTAATTGGTTGGGAAGCAGCATCCGCCACAGGCACTGTTTAGTTTCATTTACCTCCCCTGCATCTCACAGGAAAGAAATGGTCAATAGTTCAAATAAAGAATCATCCCGGTCAGCTGCAAAATATGGCTACTTGCATGGTAATCACAGCAAGTCTGTCAAATCAGTGATTTCTTTATTCCTAAGAGGAAGGGGCTTTTCCTAAGGGTTATGGTTCTACCACCCAAGGAGCAGCTGGACTCTTCACAAGCAGCTGCAGAGGCTGGCAAACCAAGAGGTCTGCTTTGGCTCAGAAACTCAGTTTGGCTCCTGCCACCCCTGGCAACCCCACTGCGTGTCTCCGTGGCACGTGTTCCACACACAGCTGGGCAGTCCGCGTCTACTTAGGAGGTATCACAACCAGGGGCGGCCCCCGCTTGGGCCTCCACATGAGGACCTGGGCATCATTGGCATTAGGCTTCACGAGTGCGTTAGGGGGGATGGGTTCCATCCGGCTCAGAACCCGGGGCTGCTCCTGCTGAGTCCTGCCCACTAGCCGGGCCCGTTGCCCTAACAGCTGAAGAGGGTCCACTTCGATGTCCACTCTCATCCTCCACTTGATGGTCTGCAGAATGATCTTCTCCTTCGTGGTGGTGTTCATGGCTACCAGCCAGGTGGTAAAACTTTGGTCCCTCTTGATCCTGGTGAGAAGTGGCACGTTGCTGTCACTCACTGGCACTGCCCATGTCACGCTGGGGTAAAAGTTATCATTCATGCTGACGGAGAACCTGGAGATCTTGTTGGTGGGGCCAACCAGGGTCACAGTCTCTGTGGTGTTCCCGTACCAGGGGTAGCTCACCCCATCTGAATCACTGATGGCTTTTACTCTCCCTTCCCTCAAGTCAGGCAGTTCCCAGCTTGACCTGGCAAAGCAGAAGGGACACACAAGAAGAGCACGAATGAATTCTTTTTAAAATTGGACAGGTGCCCACCACTTACTAACAGTCAAATTGGGAAAAATGGGAAATTAGGAGGGGGAAATTTAGGCCAAAAAGTTCTATGCTGGGCTGTATCAGGATTAAATGAGAAAAAAAGCAACCAAAATGAAATAATGATAATGATAATAATAATAATAATAATAAATAAAAACCAAACGTAGTGCCAAAGTAAGTTAAATAAAAGCCTAGCTGACCCAATGGAAAAGCCCAAAGGAACAGCGACGAGACCACCAACAGTTATCTACTCATTGGGATGATTGCGATGAGCGGTGTAGAGGTCACCCATGACAGGATGCACCTTCATGGGGAGAATGTGTTTGAATAAGATTTGACACCCAGAAGAGGTGATACGAAATTTAACTTGAAAGGATGTAACAGAAGGAGAGGAAAGGAGGGGTAAAAGAGGTGAGGGTCAACGTTCTATTAATGTCTTAGAAAAGCCATAGTAGTAGAATTTCTATTCAACAGAGCATCTTTAAATTCTACCACTAAACCAAACCAACACTCAGAAAACAGGTCAAAGAAAAGCCGTGATGGAGTGCTGGTTACTTTCCCACTAAAGCTAACATGCTTTGTGGAAACTGCTATGGGCTGGCATGTGTGCTCCCTCACATGCTGCTCTCCCCTAGGCTTGGAGTCCTGGCTGGAATCTTCATCGCCATGATTGTGACCTTGGCATTCTGAGTACCTGTCTACTCTTCCCGTCCATCTCCCATCCTTGCACAGAACAACAGAGGGGCACATGTGGCCATCCTTAGCCTATGTATCTCCTCCCAGGGTATGCTGCGTATAATGATGATACTCATAATGGTCATGACTGATAATTACGGAGCATTTACCCCATCCCATCCACGGTGTTATGTTCTCTGTTATCACAGTTTATGTTCAAAAGATTCCACACTATAACTGGATTTTCTTTCTTTTTTTTTTTCAAGAGAGGGTAGAGGCCTAAAAGCATTGGTATATATCAAGTGTCCTATAGATTCTACAGATTCTAAGAGGTTAGATTGTTTTACTCTAGCGTCTGTGATTTTGATCATTGTATCATACTGCTTCCAAGTACCCATGGTAAAGGGAACCTATGCTGTACAGTGATATAACTAACAGCCCCTAGCACAGTCATGGGGAATTTGACAGGATCCTAATAGTGACATTCTACGTATTTCCACCCCTGGAACCAGGAACAACAGCAATGCTTGGTAATAATGCCTATAAGTCAATAATTAAAGAATGGTGAGTTTTCCATTTATTAGCTAAGAGGTGATGGCCTTGTTTGATATAAAGTTTTCCCCCTTCAGAGATGATAGAAGATCTGGCAGGGCTTATCCAAATGGTAGAAAAGGGAGTTACTTGCTCAAGCTGATACTGATGATGTCTCAGCATCCCCTACTAGGGACCATGGAAACACTGCTGCTTCTGGCTACCCCCATGGTACTTTCTATGCCAGTCACCCCAGCATAAGTGAAGGGAAGACTGGACCTCCTGGGGAGGAGGTGAGCCCGCAGCTGCAAGAGGCTTTTCTCTTGTCTTCATGCCCTTGATGACTGTTGGGAATAATTGTAGTGTATTATGGTTGGCAGAAGCTAAGTAACAGAAACTGACCCGATGCAAACCCGAAGAGTGCTCATCTTACCGTGCATGCTGGTGTGCTGTGCCAGGCGGAGCTCCCAGATCTATCTGTAGCTCCCGGTCTTCTCCTTCCTCCTCCCTCCCTCCCTCGCTCACTTGCTCTCTCTCTCCCTTCTTCCTTCCCTCCCTCCCTCCCTCCTTCTTGAGACAGGGTCTCTCTATATAATCCTAGCTGTCTCTGAACTTGCTATGTAGACCAGGTTGACTTTGAACTCAGAGATTTGTGTGCTTCTGCCTCCTGGGATTAAAAGTGTTCACCACCATGCCTGGTATCACTTCTAATATATATACCTCTCCTGGTTCTCTTTGAAATTCATGGCCTCTTTTTAAAACCAACTGTTGTCACACACATATATATATTCCTAAATACAGTGGCATATATATATATATTCACATCTTACTGTACAGAAAGGAATGTGTTGCTTGAGTATATATAATTATGCATGAGTTAGTATGGTAGAGAACAAACTGGCTAATGTGCTTGCTGGGTTCATGAAATGACAGCATTGGAGTCACTGTGCCCCAACTAAGGGGCCAAGACAATGTCATCACTGGATATTATTTCCAAAGCTCAGTTTTTATTTTTCTAAGTAGTCATTCTGGCACTTTCTGAGTGGCTAGGGCACAGGCATTCCCAGCAGTGCCAGATAAGGCTTGCTCCCTGCCCTTCCCACAACCAACTGTGCTGTGTCCAGTCTGGAGAACTCTGCTTCCAGTGGATGTGCTCCTTATTCCACTACAATGCTGACCTTTTCGGGACTGGGTACCCTGATGGCCAATCCAATTCCTTTGTCTATAACTGAGTTACAATTCACATTTTGCCTTTATCTCCCTGCCTAGAGCCAAGGGCAGAGACCTGAGACCGCACACTCTCGAGGACAGCCTAGTTGGAAGATAATAAAACTTAGTTTGGTTCTAGATTTTCTCACAAGTGGATATGGTGTAATGAGGTCCACTAGTGTGCCTGTCTCAGAAAAGAAGGAAGAGAGTGGCCTCATAGGACGCTCTGGAATGCATGTATATCCTAAGCTTCTTAACCACCACACCCCAAGGATGTACCTGGCAGAGCATAGGCTTGGACTTGTGACCTTAGGAGGCTACACTTCTGTCTCATTTTGGCCCCTGTCTTACAGTTGCTAGAGCTCAAAGTGGGTCTCTCCTACAGCCCCATGGAGCCAATGACTACTTCCATCACGGAGGGGTGGCTTCACTTAGGAAATAACCAAATCCATTAAGACTAAAACCTAGTGAAGGAGAGTGGCTTTCTATCAGAAAGTTATTGAATTTTCATTTCTTATATGAAAATTAGATATTTATTCCAAGACAGTGGCTTGAAAGAGCTTGGCCTATAAAATGCAGAACTGGCTTATATAGGAGATGAGATGGCAGTGATTTTCCGAGAGGCCCTTTTTAAGTTCCAACAATGGTAGCCTGGAGTCCCTTGGTGGGTGTTAAGAGGACGTCTGTGATCAGGATGCTGAAGCACTTCAGATCCCGCATGGTCCAAACAGAACTCCCCATCCCCACCTCAGAGCTGGGCCTTCCCCTCTCTGCCACATCCAACCTTTCAGGTCAGAAGCAAGGGCTACATCTGACCTTCCCACCCCTCCCAGAGACTACCACAGCCGCCACTCAGCATCTTATGACTTCTGCCGCACAAGTCACGTGTAGATTTACTTCCTTTTCTCTGTCCACCTCTCACTGCTTTCACGTGATCCAAGCCTTTAGCATCTCCTAAACGGTCTACTGTGGTGCCCCACTAACTGGTCTCTGCATTCAATGCTGATTCCTCCCACCCCCTGACTTCATCACGTAGGCTGCGCAAGTTCTCAAACTTGTTTGCTCTATACATAAAATCTTTCTGTGACTCTTCACTGGGTCACTCATAGGATAAAATCTGAGCTCCTCACCAGCACAGACCTGGCTCGCTGTGACCTGTCCTCTCTGACCCCACGTACCCTGCTGTTTTTCTACTTCACTCCTTAGCTCTTGCCGCACCCTTTGCCCACACTGCTCTTCCTCCTAATAAAAATCCCCTGTATCTATCCACTTGCCCGCTGGAACTCATTGTGAGCCACCCCCCCCCCCCGCCAACAGGAAGAGCACTATTTCCACCAACCTACGGGTGTGTCCAGATTGACAGGTGCAGATTACATCTTAACTTTTAGTTTTTATGCCTCTTTCTTCATTAGATGTCAATTTCCTGGGAATTGTGACTTACTTTTGAATCCATACCAAGCACATAGCTGGCATGCAACTAAAACTTGCTATTTCTCGGATGGATCCACATCCGTGATTATATGAGCACCACAAACAAGACTCAGTCTGTTAAACACACCACACACACACACACACACACACACAGAGAGAGAGAGAGAGAGAGAGAGAGAGACAGACAGACAGACAGACAGACAGACAGACAATATGAACTAAGGAGGAAGGATGGGGAGCGAGGGGTGAACCTGAGAGGAATTAGGTCTGGAAGGGAGGAGAAAAGGTGAATATAATCAGAATACATTGTTTGCATCTCAAAGAATTAATAAAATATATTCTAAAACCTTAATATTTCTCAAAAGGTTAAATATTGTATTTGGATCATTTTCATGCCTTTATGTGTGGAGCTTGGTAGAACTTGCGCACAACAGAATCTTTTATCACAGCTCTACACTTTAGATACTTGTTCGCTTCTAAAACCCCAACATCTATTATTCATCTAGAATCTATTATTAGGATAGCTGCACACCTTGCACTGAACGTTATTTGTCTTCGGGGGGAGGCAAGCCGCCACACTTGAAATGAGTGAATTAGTAAGCATGAATGTATTTCAGAGACTATTTTTGCCAGCACACAGCAAACATATGAAAATGAGTAGCACAAACTCCCGAGTGTGGCCGGCTCCGGATGTGTAGAGATCCACAGAGGCACAAGTGCTGGGGAGGCTTTGCAGAGGGAATGGGTTGCGGGAGCTAAAGACGGGGCCTTCTCAGCTGGGGGGTTTCACCAAAGGCCAGAGCAGCACCAGGCATGCGACAGAATGTCCAGGAAACAGAAGGGACGACTTGGGGAAGTGAACATTGGAAAGAGTGAGAATGGAGCGGTGGCTAGGGTGGCCTTGGCTTGATGGGTGTCTTGAATAATGGACTTTGGCATTTGGACGTCATCTGAGCAGCGGAGGGACTTGCACTGGAAGCTGCTGTGCCAGGGACGGTCAGGTTCCTCAAAGGAGAATTTGCATGTTGGAGAGAGCGGGGATGAGTAGAAACATTTACAATGCTGTAGGTAAAATCTATTGATTA